GACCAGACAGTGTTTCGGTCTGTTATACATAAGGTTGTATGAGTTGGAGACAACTTGATGCATATACCAACAACAACAACAACAACAATATATATATGTATCATGTATAACTAATAAGGCATTTTCTAGGCCTTAAAATACATAAAGGCATTGTTGTTGTTAGATGCTGTCCAGTTTATTCTGATTCATAGTGAATAGAACAAAACACTGCCCTATCCTGCACCATCTTCACAATCATTACTATGCTTAAGCCCTTCACAACAGTCACTGTGTCAATCCATCTAGTTGAGGGTCTTCCCATTTTTTCTGATCCTCCACTTTACCAAGCATGATATCTTTCTCCAGGGATTTGTCCCTTCTATCCACATGACCAAAGTAGTGAGATGAAATCTGGCCATTCTCACTTCTAAGGACCATTTTGACTGGGCCTCTTCCAGGATAGATTTGTTTGTTCTTCTGGCAGTCCATGGTATTTCCAGTATTCTTCAGCAACACCACAATTCAAGGGCATCAACTCTCCTTTGGTCTTTCTTATTCATTGTCCAGATTTCACATGAATATGAAGCGATTGAAAACATCATGTCTCGGGATAGGTGCACCTTAGTCTTCAAAGTGACATCTTTGCTTGTTAACACTTTAAAAAGGTCCAAATTTGCAGATTTTCCCAGCAAATACATTTGATTTCTTGACTGTTGCTTCCTTGAGTGTTGATTGTGGATCCAAGTAAAATGAAATCTTTGACAACTTCAGTCTTCTCTCTATTGTGATGTGGCTTATTGGTATAGTTGTAAGAATATTTGTACTCATTACGTTGAGTTGTAATCCAAAATGAAGACTGTAGTCTTAGATACTTAATCAGTAAGTGCTTTGTGTTATCTTCACTTTCAGCAAGCAAGGTTGTGTCATCTCCATATTGCAGGTTGTTAATGAGTCTCTCTCCAATCCTGATGCCATGTTTTTCATATAGTCTTCATATAGTTCTACACATAGTCAAGCTTCTTAGATTATTTGCTCAGCATACAGATTGAATGAATATGATGAAAGGATACAACACCAACACACACTCTTCCTGATTTTAAACCATGCAGTGTCCCCTTGTTCTGTTTGAATGACAGCCTTTTGGTCTATATACAGGTTGCTCATGAGCACAATTAAGTGTTCTAGAATTCCCATTCTTCTCAATATTATCCATAATTTGCTATGATCCACACAGTCAAATGCTGTTGCATAGTCAATAAGACACAAGTAAATATATTTCTGGTATTTTTGCTTTCAGCTAGGATCCATCTGACATCACCAATGATATCCCTCCTTCCATGCCCTCTGTTGAATCCTGCTTGAATTTTTGGAAGTTGTCAATATACTGCTGCATCCGTTTTTGAATAATCTTCAACAAAATATAAAAGCATTAGTGAGCAGAAGTAGACAGGTATTGGTTATTTTGAATCGGGCAATCACATGCCAGGAAAGACTGTTTAAAGAGAAATGGTATCACATTCATTGTCAAAAAGAACATTTCAAGATGTAACTTAAAGTACAATGTTGTCAGTGTTGTCAACATGCATATGCTTACAAGGAAGACCTATTAATACTATTATTATACACATGAAACACTAATGCCAAGGAAAAATAAATTTTAGATTTCTCCCAACTTCTGCAGTCTGAAATAGATGGAACAAGTAATCAAGGTGCATTTATAATCACTGGTGATTAGAATGTGAAAATTAGAAACATAGAAGAAGGGTTGGTAGCTGAAAAATAAAGTCTTTGTGATAGACATGACCCTGGAGATCACATGATAGGATTTTGCAAGATCAAAACCTTTTTCATGGCAAATACATTTTTGCAACAGCATAAATGACAACTGTACATGTAGACCACACCAGATGAAATACATAGGAATCAAAAGGAATACATGCATGGAAAGAGACAATGGAGAAGCTCAATATCATCAGTCAGAAAAATGCCAGGGGCGAATTGCAGAGCAGACTATCAGTTGCTCATACCCACGTTCAAGTTGAAGCTGAAGAAAATTAAAACAAGTCCAAGAGAGCCAAAGTATGAACTTAACTATATCCAATCCAAAATTAGAGACCATCTCAAGAATAGATTTGGCTCACTGAACACTAATGACCAGAGACCAGATGAGTTGTGAGAATACATCAAGGATATCATACATAAAGAATGCAAAAGTCATTAAAATGTAGTAAAGAAGAAAAACCAAAATGAATTTCAGAACAGACTCTGAAACTTGCCCTAGAATGTAGAGTAGCTAAAGAGAATAGAAGAAATGATGATGTGAATGATCTAAACAGAAGATTTCAAAGGGTGGCTTATGAAGATAAAGTATTATAATGAATGTGTAAAGGCCTGCAGTTAGAAAACCAAAAAGGAAAAACAGTCTCAGCATTTCTTAATGTGAAAGAACTGAAGAAAAATTAAAGCCTTAAGTTGAAATACTGAAGAATTCCATGAGTAAAATATTGAATGACAAGGTAGCAAAAAAAAGAAGATGGAAGGAATGATAATGTCACTGTACCAAAAAGCATTGATCAACATTAAACCATTTCAGAATGTAACATATGACAAAGAATTGATGGTGTAGGTGGAAGAAGTCCAAGCTGTACTAAAGGAATTGGTGAAAAAGAAGGTTCCAGGAATTGATGGAATACCCATTGAGATGTTTCAACAAATGGATCCAACACTGGAGGTGCTCCCTCATCTATGCCAAGAGAGTTGTATAACAGCTACGTGGTCAGCCAACTGGAAGAGATCCAAATTGTGTCTATTTCAAAGAACGATCATCTAACAGAATGCAGAAATTATCCAACAATACTATTAACATTATATGTAAGTAAGATTGTGCTGGATTGGACAGGAAACTGCTACAAATTCAAGCCAGATTCAGAAGAGGATCTGAGACAAGGGATGTCATTGCTGACATCAGATGGATCTTGGATAAAAGCAGACAATACCAGAAAGATGTTTACCTGTGTTTTTTGTCTATGCAAAGGCATGGGACTGTGTGAATAAGAACAAATTATGGATAACATTGTGAGGAATGGGAATTCCAGAACATTTCATGCAGAACCTGTACATAGACCAAGAGTCATTTGAATAGAACAAAGGGATACTATCTGGTTTAAAATCAGGAAAGGTGTGTGTCAGGATTGTATCTTTTCACCATGCTTATTCAGTCTGTATGCTGAGAAAATAATAAAAGAACCTTGGCTATACGAGGAAGAACACGGCATTGGGATTGGAGAAAGACTCATTAACAACCTGTGATAGGCAGATGACACAACCTCCCTTGCTGAAAGCAAAGAGGATTTGAAACACTTACTGATGAAGATAAAAGACTACAGTCTTCATTATGAATTATAGCTCAACATAAAGAAAACAAAAATCCTCACAACTGGACCATTAAGCAACATTATGATAAGAAGAGAAAATACTGAAGTTGTCAAAGATTTCGTTTTACTTGGATCCACAATCAACACCCGTGGAAGCAGAAAAAAAAAGCTATTGCTGTCAGCTCCAATTTATAGCAACCCCTCCTTGGGTTTCCAAGGCAGTGTCTCTATGAAAGTAGACTGCTCGATCATTCTTCCAAGGAGTGGCTGGTGGATTTGAACCGTCAGCCTTCTGGTTAACAGCCAAATGCCTTAAGCACTACTCCACCATAGTTCCTGTGGAAACAAAAGTCAAGAAATAAAGTGATGTATTGCATTGGGCAAATAAGCTGCAAAAGACCTCTTTAATGTCTTCAAAAGCAAAAATGTCACTTTGGGGACTGTGGTGCATCTGACCCAAGCCATAGTATTTTTCAGTTGCTTCAATATGTATGTGAAAGCTGGACAATGACTAAGGAAAAGCAAAGAAGAATTGATGCCTTTGAATCGTGGTGTTGGCCAAGAGTATTAAATACACCAAGGATTGCCAGAACAAAGAAATATATCTTGAAAGAAGTATAGACAGAATGCTCCTTACAAAGGAGGATAGCAAGACTTCTTGTCACGTTCTTTGGACATGTTATCAGGAGGGACCAGTTCTGGAGAAGGACATCATGCTTGGTAAAGTAGAGGGTCAGAGAAAAAGAGGAAGGCCCTCAAAAAGATGGATTGACATAGTGGCCGCAACAATAGGCTTAAACATAGAACAATTGCCAGGATAGTGCAGGACCAGATGTTTGGTTGTTCTGTTGTACATAGGGTCCCTATGAGTCAGAACCCTATGGCACCTAACAACAACCACAACAAAGTATGTAAAACTAGATAAGACATGACCCATGAATTAGCATCTCTTTTGTTTATAAAAATCTCCTCTTAGTTTATCTATTGGCATGTGTGTGCTAATTAGAGCTGTAGTTGTTTGATGGAGTACTTGGTCCTTAAATAAAGCACAGCTTAAATTTTCACAGTATTAATCACAGAATTCAATTTGAAATCTTTGAAAAATAACCCATTGACCACTAGCATTTAAAACATTCAAATGCCAGATTTTAGTGAAAGGAAACAAATTGCTTTCTAAGTATTAAAATAATAGCTATTAACAGCATAAATCAAAGTGTAGACGCTCATTGAAACCCAAATATACTTGCATATCTAAATTGATCCTTTTCTGTATTCTCTCAGTCTTTTCTATCAGTGAAACTATTTGTAGATTTTTTTGTATTTGAAAATATTAAAGCTTACAAATTCAAACACATATTCAATTAATCATTCAGTTTCTTGTTTGACTTGTACATATTAGGGTTGTCAGTGGATATTTCTTTTTCCCCAGACATGAGAAATTCATTAAAAATAGAATTCACCAGAGACTGATTTTTAAGGGTAGGGGTGGGGAAGCTGTTGTTGTTATTCATTCTTTTAAAAATACTGCTTTTTATTTTAGCTACCTCACAATTCATTTCTGAAATATTTGCTATTGACATTAACTATGTATGGTGATTATGAACTTTAGCTTTTCTGACTTATAAAATATATTTTTTTTAATGCCAGTGCCAATGATCTGTCTTCTCCTGAGAGCCCAGGGAGTTGTCATACATACTGCTTTGTGTTTTGCAGCATTGGCAGTTGTTTCCTTGGAATCTGCTGAAAGACCAAACTACTTTCTCTATGTCCATGACAATGACACTCTTAGTTTGAAGCTGTGGGAGGGAAATTCAGCCTTTCATCGGAGAGCCACATTTTTCCACCATCAAGGCCTCTGGATTCCTGGTTACAGTACATTTGAATTATACAGCAAGAAAGGCTTTTTCATCATATTCACAGCTTTTGGTGTCAAAGCATCAAAATATGATGATTCTGAAGAATTTAAGCATTCAAGTAGCTTCAGCTTAGAAGGTATGTTTCCCAAGATTTCACACACACAAAAAACAAAACGCAGAATAAATATAATATACATAATGGCAGAATATTTAGCCAGCTTCAGTACTCAAATCTATTCTTCTACAAATTATTATTTTTTTTTTACTTTGAGATGGAAAAATGTTTTTATAATATTAGAAAAATGCATTAGTAATTCCATTTTACTATAATACAAAAAGGAGCTCTGGTAGCATAGTGGCTAAGGCACTTGACTGCTAACCGGAAGGCTGGCGGTTCAAACCCACCAGCCACTCCTCAGAAGGAAGATTGGGCAATCTACCTCCGTAATGATACTGTCTCGGAAACCCAAGGAGGGGTTGCTATGAGTCGGGTCTGACTCAACGGCACATAACAGCAACAACAATATAACACATTTTTATTTTAATATGTTTATCCTCAGAAGGAAGATTGGGCAATCTACCTCCGTAATGATACTGTCTTGGAAACCCAAGGAGGGGTTGCTATGAGTCGGGTCTGACTCAACGGCACATAACAGCAACAACAATATAACACACACAAAAAAACCTACTGACATCAAGTCGATTTTGACTTAAAGAGACCCTATAGGACAGTGTAGAATTGCCCTGTAGGGTTCACTAGGCTGTAAATCTTTACAGAAGCAGACTGCCTCATCTTTCTCCCACAGAGGGGCTGGTGAGTTTGAACCATCAACCGTTTGATTCACAGCTGAATGCTTTACCCACTATTCCACCAAAGCTCCTAATTTCTATATGATGTGTATTAAATATGTATATTTTTATATCTGAACATGTATTATGTGTGTGTTTTACGTATTCAGATTCTTCTCTATTTTTAAAATTTAAAATTTGGAAAACTTTAGCATATTTGATGATACTTAAATTGACATGTTCTATCATATCCACTACTTGTGTGTCAGTTTGTTGTACTATGTTGGCTTGCATGTAGCTATGATCTGGAAGCTATGCCACCTGTATTTCAAATACCACCTGAGTCACCTGTAGTGGACAGGTTTCAGTAGAGCTTCCAGACTAAGAAAGACTGGGAAGAAGGATGGGGCCATCCATTTTTTAAAATATTGGTCACTGATAACCTTATGAATAGCAGTGAAATGCTGTCTGATATATTACTGACAAACTTTATTAATAGCAATGAAACATTCTACCTTAAGAAACCCCAAAAGCTTAACTTTTATTTATTAATTTGTTAAAATGGTGTTTTAGCAGCAGCTGATCTTTTCTTTGTCTAAATTATTAGTCTTTTTATATATATATATATATATATATGTGTGTGTGTGTGTATATATATATATATATATATATATATATATATATATAACTTAAATATTTCATGCAACTTAAAATATTTCAAAATAATGAAGAAGAGATATACAAAAAAATGTACTTTTTCCTATAATGAATATTCAGAAACTAAGGTAACTTAATAAGGATTAATTAAGTTCAGAGTTTATTGTGAACTCCCTAGAGGTATTTTACACATACATATGCATCTTTTTATTTTGTTTTGTTTCTTAAATGGAAATACACTATGTATCATGCCCAGTATCTTTTTCTTTTTTATGAGATGGTATTTTATGATTCATTGCATATTACTATGTAACTATATAACCAGGCCATGGCAGTG